TATTATATTTATTACGTATTCCCCAATCATCAAACTATTTTAATCTAGGCAAATATTCTGTCTTGTCATTCGCAGGACCTTGGAATCCACTCCTTCTTATTGCGATGGAATTTACACATCGTGTGTCTGTAAACCACCTGACCTTTTGATATTTTAATATATGACCTAATAACAAAGGTAACTGGTATTAAGCTACTCACTTTCTCCAAGTAGAGGATTTCAAACTCTCTTCCTCTGAAACGTTGCCATGAGAAACGTTGTTAATCTTACTGACCTCATACCCATACCCCCAATATTCAGCCTATTGCTCATAGCCTATTTTTTCATGTTAGGAAACTATCAAGCTAGCTTACGGGGAACTTTGGTGGTTCTACTCAGGTTCCCGTTCGTGCCTGAAATAATCCACGGAAGGGCACCTGAGGTCTTCCTCCATCAGTAACGCTGGAGCATCGCCAAATGACCTATACAGTGTCGGTGCGACGTAAAACCCAATCAAACAATCAAACGAATAGCGCATTTTTGAATACGCAAAAGTTCACAACTATATTTTTGTATGTATTTTATGCACGTGCTTTCCCTTAGCATGTCTGGTATAAGGTGCACTTTCTCTGCCATCATGTCTAGTAATATTTAAATAGCATCCGCATGAATTTGGAAAAAAAAAACAAATGTATTAAAAAACACAATATAGCTAAACTAATAAACACATTTACATTCTAAACAACATCCGAAGACACTACCGTCGTATGTAAGTGAGATACCCCAGTCAGTGCTTTGAGCAATATTGGAATTGGATAGTATATAGCCATACGGCATGACAAATATGTTTGAACAGCTTGAACAGTTTATTGAAAATGCTGGGCCTCTTAGAGGCATCAGTCACATTTACAATAATATACATATAATATGAAATATCATAAAAAGAGTTCCACAAAATATATTTATGTACTACATAGCAAATATAAATCAAAACGAAAGTGCTACATTTTGAAAATAAGCTTAGCTATCAGTTACTTAAATGCTGATAATTTTTACAGAATACTGCAAGTTTTAACAATATACTCCTATTTGTGCTATTCATTAACACATAAAACTTGATTGTATTAACCTTAGTACTATACTCTCTAGTACATTGTAATATATTTTTTCTTTCAGTATTAAAGAATTGACAATTAAATAAGTAATGATATTCATCACGAAGTGAGCTAGTATTGCATAAGTTACATACTCTTTATTCTCTTGGTGTATTACAATTTATGGTTCATACATCTAAAGCGCAATAGTACTAATTTAACAGCTAAATGAGATGGTAAAAAATCTAAAAACTTTTCATTTGTACATGTGCATTCTATAATTCAGACATTTACTGGATTCTGACATTTCCCTATGCCAATTTTGATTGGACTGATCTTTCAGTCTATTTTTAACAATTGTCGTAAACAATGGAAGAGAAGTGAAACATTTTTAATCCAAAAATTTGATAAACCCAGTGAATCTGGTAATTTACAAACACTATTCATCCATGGGAGTTTCAACACATTTCTACAATACAAAGTGTGTAACATATCATACAAGATATGGCTTATTGATTCTTGTTTGCAACTAAAAATCTAAATTCAAAAGCACAAATCTGATTTTTTTACTTTTTATATGAATAGATAAAGGTAATATCCACAAATTTCCATAAAGCATATAATTTGGAGTAATTTGTTTCAAATTTAATATGTGTTTATAAAATTTTAATTGAAATCTATCGTGTCAATATTGCTGTAATAACTTTTCAATAGAGGATACTCTCTACATCATTATTTCTCGTTATCAGTACTATTTAGTTCTCTTGTGTAAAATTAATATTTAGCGCATTCTAAATTTCAAATCTGAATTGCCAAAAACGCGCTTGGTATTTTAACACATAACATAGTTCTGGTTTCTTTTGGCAAATCGAACCAATCGACACATTCCAGCCTAAAAATATACATTTGAGCAATAGAAAGGTTAAAAGAATAGCAGTCTTCCAGCAAGGAATAACCTCGAGCTTTATCACCAGCAATTTTGTTAAGTACTTTGTGAAAAATAGTAATCGGGTACGAATAAACTGGGGAACAATATTTTGCGAAAGCATGTACAGCAATACATGGCGGTTCCAGAACCTCGATCAAAACAGTCAGCGAGTAACTGCCCAAACTTTGAATAATTCTCAAAATATCATATTATATCTATTACAATATTCCCTGGTCATCAAACACAGTTAATCTCGACAAAAAGTCTGCCTCGTCATTCGCAGACCTCGGAATCTACTCCATCTCCAAAGAAATAAAATGTTTCATACAAACACTAAAAAATATGAAAAGTAACATATTGCAGATCTTTTTTTTTTCTTCAATAAACTTTTAACAGCGATTGATTTGACACCTTTGTTTTCTGTAAACAACTTGACCTTTTGATGTCTCAATATATGACCTAATAATAAAAGTAACTGGTATTCAGCTACTCACTCTCTCCAAGTAGGTAATTTCTTCCTCTGATCCTTCGCCATGAGATAGCCTACCCTGTTTACCTTACTGATCTCATATGTCTTGCATCTAAGTACATAACGTTAGTAACACAAAAAGACTGCCTCATTTGCTTGTTATTAATGAACGCTAAATGCTCCTTCCAAAACAATACAATTGTAAACCCTCATCACTTATGCAATTAAATGAATTTTAATGATGGGCATTCAAAATGTCTACCCTTAGGTATATTGTCATGATTAGGAAATGTGATATATTACAACTGACATAAATCTACCTTACTACACCGGCGACATGGTTCCTTAAAGCCTCCGAGTACTGTATCTTCTTAACTGCCAAGATTGTAGCCAAAACTATTTTGAACAAGTTTACATCTGAAAAACCTGAAAACCTAGACTCTGTTTATCATAGGAATCTACACAGTCGAAACCATAAGTTTCCCTTCTGTCCGTCATTCATTTATCAATGGCCTGCATAGCTTCCTAAACAAATAACAAGCAGATGATAAGACTTCTTATTCTAAAAACTGCTTCCACTAGTGTTCACTATATTGACTTCACGTTAATCGAGTGTAAGTATTTTCTTACCAGAATTTGAACTGATACTGTCAATGGATAAATAACATAGGGAATGGGGAAGGGCAGGTATATTTTTGGATTATATGTCTATCTTAGAAATCATGAATTGCTTCAGATACAAGGTTAGGTTTTGAGATAGCAGACTTGTTATTTTTACAAAATATTCCATTTGGTGACGAATACAGAGGTTTATTTTATGCTTTTCAGTGGATTACTGATTTATCCGTGAAAACCATATTTGATGATTTCACAGTGAAAATCATCAAAATTTAATTTCACACTTTTAAATGACAAAACTACTTTTTAAAGATTTTCCCATGTGGTACCTTAGTTTTATTTTATTTTTATTTTTTTGCTGACAATTCTGGCAATGCCAGGCTGTTTAAAGAAAAGCAAAACTGAAATTGATAAATAACTTAAATGTGAAAAATAATAAAAAGAAGAAAACTTACTTCTATTCATTCAAATGCCAATCACCAAATTTCGTCTCTAAATTGTTTTTGTTTCTTTTGTACAGTATGAGAAATACATTCCTTCCACATGCAAAACTGCTCTTGATGACATTTAGGCTTACTCAAGTATCCTTACGAGCAAAATCTGCCGTATGCTTTATGAAAAATTGGTAAACAATGACAGCCTTCAGCTCGAAGAATAAGTCAACAACCCAGCGTTACTGTGCCAGCTTCTAAGTTTTCCATTTTCCTAGCTGTCTTTTTAAAGTTTTCACATATATCAACACTTATTTTTTGTCTGTTACAATCCTCAAATAAGTTTTCTTTCTTTTAAAAAGGTGTTTGACTAACAAATCCAAATGATATCCCTCTGAAACAATGGGAGATTTGTGTAGGACTTGCCCATATGCTAGTAAAAAGATGGTACCGCTTAAAAGGTCAGAGTCAAGGAAGCACACATCCGTTGTGAGGTCGTAAGTGTACAATTGGCAAAAACGATAAAGCGAAGGACGAGAAACAATACTGAATGATGAAAGATGTGACCGTCAAGTAATGAAATCCAAGGACAGCTGCAATATTTGGTACAATATTTTAAAGGATTTGCAAACTATTCTTTAATTGAAAGGCCAGTTGAACGACAACACCTCAGTGAACTAAAACAATGAATCAAAACAATATTTATATTATTTTAACCAAAAGAAGTGGTTTAAACAGGTATATCGTCAGTGGGTCGAGCGAAAACTAAAGTGAATTACGTCGGCATCTGCGTACTTTGAAAATAAATAATTAATTTTTTTACGTGCGCAACTTTATTGCATATGACTTATTTCAAATGCCCTGTTTGTGTTTCATAATTAATGAAATTGTCACAACGGTTTATAGTGATAACAAAAATGATATATCCACTAAGTTGCATTACTATCAGGCGATTTGTGATAATTCATTTACATTTTCTCATGAAATTCTGGATAACCTCTCATATATTAAACGGCAAAATCGCAGTTGAGTAAAATAAATTTATTATACATTCAAGTTGATGAAACATTATTTTAAAGCAATACATCCTTATACAATTACAAGCTGAAGCTTTATATAGTATTATGCAAAATGTGACAGACATGTATATTTATTACATGTAGAATAACAGAAATGCCAAATATTATGTAATTGTTGTTGGAATGTTGGTAGTAAATGTGTAAGTGAAGGTTGCATCGTTTCAAATTTGATTTTTCACTTGCGCTTTATTGTTCATTAGAACAATTAAAGTTGCCATGCCAATATGCACATGCCTGAGGGTGTGTAGTTTCAAAATGAGATACAATATGTTTTCCGTAGCCTCTGATTACAGATTAGAGATGGTTAGTTTTCTTTACTTATGTTTAAAAATCATAATTGAAAATACAATTAAACCAGAATCAATTACACATGTTTGTTATTATTGGACTTTTATATTGTCTTTTTTCTTTTTCTGTACACTCAGTTGCTACCTGTAATATTGAATATTATGCAACATATCTATCATAGTCCGTACATTGGTCTTTTGAAAGATGCATACATTTTACATATAAATGATAAGTAAATACACTAACTCACAAATTCACCTCCAATGAATCTAGAACTACATACTATAAGATTTCATTTAGCATACATTTTTCTTTATACATGTATAGTTCTTTAACAACAGTATGTCAAGGTAAATCATTGGAAACACATTCTCGGAAATAAAGATCGAGGTTTGCATTTTCTTCAATTTTCACGTTTTCGCCAGCAGTTTGTGCCATCTCTAGCGATACTGACTGAAACGAGCAACTGTCACCATTCCATAAATCAAACGAGAAGCACAATTCATTTTTAGTACAATTCTCTTTGCATTTTTCAACTGTTACACCTAGAAGATCTTTGCCAATCTTAATATCCGGTATAAATCTTTCATGTAGCATCACGAAGGATGTTTGCGTCTGAGTACAAACTGAAAAGTAACACGAAAGTACCATTTGATATATATTTGTCTTTTCAAAGACCCCATTTTCTAGGTAAAAAGTGAATATAGTGATAACATGATGATGATTATGACGACTACGACAATGGTTATAAGGATGACGACGAAGAACCATTTGTTTTTTACTAATTAAAAGCAATGTTCAATTAGTAGACGATCAAAATAAAGTTGTATACTGCACGCAGGCAACGCTTCATTTCATTCGATGATACTGAGATTTATATCTTTTATTCACAAACGTATTGATTTGTAGAGCTTCAAAGACTAAAACAAACAATTCGAATTTCTTACATTTAATAGTTTAGGTACTAACCATAAAATCAAAGTTACGCAAAAGATAATTAATAAAGTAAAAAAAACTTGGAAATTAATTGAAATCATATCCTAATTGTTTAGATAATTTTTCATAATAGGAATAATTGTTCCAGAAGAAAATGGAGAGAGTGAATAATCTGCATTTTTGCACACAACTTATTTGTCTAGACCTTCATTCATGTCTAAGTGTTATGTAAGTGGAACGTTTTTGAAACTTACTTGTACAGTTCTTAGTGGAATCATCGTAGAAATGCGTGTGCTTACATAGGCAAAAACCGTGTGTGCACTTCCCCTCTTTCTCAATGCAATCTGTATCAGATGCGCAACTCTTCAGGAATGTAGGTGCTGGACATAAATATATATTAACCAGTGTTTTATAATACTCTGCAGTTACGTATAGAAAATAAATATCTAAATACAAATGAAATCATCAAAACATACGATGATTCGGTATTTTTATCAACTGACTATTGTTATATTTCATGAATACAACATACATTACCTGGTGTGATAAGAGTTTGCTGTTAACGTAGGGTGGAAATATAAGAGTTTAATGTTACTAATATTCATACTGTTAAAACGTTAAAAATAAAATAACTGTTAAAGTTGCAATATATATTCGTATATAAATTGAAAGGGTCTTGATATATTTTTCGATACAATGTAACTTACTGAAAGAGCAGTGTATGAACGACATTGATATATTTGTTTACATTTTGATCAAAGAAATAAATTATTGATACGATTGTTTTAACAATCTTTACCAAAATCAAATAGTATTAGTTGCTGAAAAGGGCTAATAATAGTGCATCTTAAATACTATTTAAACTTACTCGGACAGTCTTGTTCATTGCATTTTGATTCATCGGGTTGTTGTTCGTTTCCTTCACAATCTGTTCCATTTACGCCTGTTGAGGGTATTGAACAGGTCCTTTGCCTAGTCCTTAGACCGACACCACAGCTAAGGCTACATTGTCCCCAAGACGACCAAGTAGTCCAAGTATACAGTACTGTACAATAATATTAAACAAAAATAATTTTATATTTATAAGCTCACAAGAACCGAAGGCTCAGTGTGAGCTACTACTATTGAAGGGGGGATGCTCCGGCGTCCGTCGTCCGTCGTCATGAGTTAACAATCGTATTCTTCTCTGAAACTGCTGGGCAGATTTACTTCAAATTTAGTCTGGAGCAACCTTGTGACAGTCACACTTGAATTTGCTAATGTCATTTCAATTGGCCCCTTTTAGGGGTCAACAGAGCTTAAAAGTAGAAAAACATTTTAACATCTTCTACGACAGAACTAATCGATGGATGCTCACCAAACTTTGTCTGTAACATTCTTACGTAGCCTTTTATCAACTTTGCTCATTTTAATTTGATTGGTCCCGTTTAAGCTAAAGATTAAATGCTTCAGGTCATGGAATTACTAAACAAATATTGTTTAAACACATTCTATGCTCAAATTTAATGTTAGAAAATATTGGCAATTGATAATTTCCAACACTGTAAAGAAGACATTTCTGGTGAGCGAATCAGGACCATCATGACCCTCTTGTATAAATCTATAGATTTTTTGTTCTATGCCTAAGTTATCTAAAATAGTGTCAGGCAGATATTGCTTTTTGTGTATCATATATACAATCTAGCGTGCAAACATTGATATCAATAAATATTGATAAATAAAGTGAATTTAATCATTAAAAGACATGTCTGAATTGCTTGACTATGTTACTAACAATCTTATAAGAATCACTTATAAGACTGTGTTTAGTTCTTAGATAAGGTTTTAAAAATTGAAAAAAGTTTAATTTCTTATTTAAAAAAATCGTTCTTTTAAAATTTGTATTGTGCTTTAAATGAGCCGACAAAAAGTTGAATCGGAACAGTGATTGAAACTCTTTAGTATCGGCAATAATACGGGAAAAAAGGTTATTAAATAAGGCTTCTCAGAAAAACATGGAATCGCCTTCGCATACTGATAATATGCCTTCCAACATTTCCTTTGTCGGTGTTAGATTCGCGCCCACTCGTCCAATTTTGCCTGTTGAAGCTCTTGAGTCGTGGTCGAATGGAATGGTCAGGCAGATATTGCCGTTAGCAGCATGTGCAATCGGATTAAGTAAGGTCTTGGGACCTTGTCGACCTGTCAATTCACTCCAGTTCCTTTATGCAGGTACTTGATGGTGGCCTGTGCCCTGTGTGGACGGCCATTGGCGTCCATGAAATCATAGTCTTTATCTTAGGCGTGTGCAGACAATTCGCATCAAAGGTCCCATTGAAGTACATGCAGCCGACCGTTGCTTTTCATTTTTGGGATCACCATATTTGGGTTAAATTTTAAAGCTATATTTCAGAAATAAAAATCAAATTTTGAATAGTATTATTCAACCAATAAGTTATCAAATTAAAAATATCCTTACTGTTCTTAGACGGCTGTTCATATAATTATCACGGGTGAAACAGTACGAAATGCATAGTTTTGACATAAGTGCAGTCCAAAAGATACTTAAGCTAGGATAGATAGTGATCATTGTAAAAGGGAACTTAAAATTTTAGACTGACTAGCCACAAAATCAATTATCGACATCTATTTATCGTGATCATGTTCCACAAAATAATTAAGGACTGTAGGTAAAAGCGAATTGTAGTAATAGATCTGAGTACAAGTATTTTACGTTTATGTGATCGTATCTTTAGACTGACTGTCTAAGTTCTAGCTATTGGCTTTTCAGTGATGGAATTTTTATTTATAGTTTGTTTATACTTTATATACATATAAAAACAAGTACTCCTTGACGTGGTCATTCTTTCCTACAGAACATTAATTTGAAAAAATCCATTTTAGAGGTTGAATATATAATGTTAGATGAAATATATCTTAGCTCTTACCCCTTACGGTTTTGGTGAGGAAAAAAAACGTAGGCTATACGATATTAAATAATGGCTAGTTTCTACCAGGAGCCATAATTTTAATCATGTTTGTCGCAACCGAGCCACCATATATTGTTCCATGCCAAACAAGCTTAAGAGTATCTTTGAAAATATACTCAGACAAAATGAAACTGCTTTTAATTGCGAAGATTATTTCAGTGTTTTGTCAAAGCAATTATTTTTCAAATATAGGGTCACAAGATATGTTTCTAAATGAAACTGTCGTATTTCATTTACATTTTCTAATTTTTGTCAGCTGATTTAAAAATTAAATTAATACAATTTTGTTATGGCCAATATTTGTTTTTTAATTCTTAAATCGATCTTTTTACTTCCTTAGAGTTTATATGCCAACGGTATTTCCGGTTTCTTAATTCATAAATTTAAATTAACATCATTTAATAATGGTTTTTGAACTTACATCAAACGTTTGATAATGTATATTCTTACTTTTTTCACATTCTGTTATATGGCTCCATTGAGCATTGTAAAGACATTCAGCTACAGGTTCTACGCCGTCGTCTTTTGGTTTGTACCCGGGATTGCACATGTAACGAATCTTTTTGCCGATTCCCCTTTCATTCCCAAGAACTATACCATTTTCAGGAGTCGTTGTGTTGATACACTCTTGAATCATTAAAAACAAGAGCTTATGAAGTTAAATATGAAATATAATGACCGGATAACATAAGACTTCGTGTCACATTAATTATTGATTGACTTAAAATATCATTTGCAAAACAACGGATTTTTGTGACCTTTTAGTTACAAGGTATTAAATTATCATTTTCAAACATTCCTTTTAATTTAGAAAAAGATATAATTCTAAACAACAACCAATATTTCATTGAATAATTTATTTGAACGATACACCGACTGGATTCAAGGTAAGGATTATGCAAAATACATATGACCCACACAACAAGCAAACCGTCACTGACTATTTCCTAGCTTATGTTGATATATGCGCAAGCTGCAAATATGACTGAGGAATCATGTCGACATTCATCATACTAGAACTACAAACCTATAGATAGCTTCATATATAGATCGTATATCTCAGGTTTAAATATTGCAAGTTTTCACGTTTTTGAATTACAATATTCGGGCAATTGTCATCCGCATATTTTACATAATAAATGCAATAAACTCTCAATTCATTTCAATTTGATTCCCATAGATTTGTCACGCACAATTGTACAAAGACAACACCATCTACATATTAGCACTTAAATATGTTTAATAATTTGATTCATCAGATTCATTTAAATGACCAATACTCTACCTGATATATATTTTTTTCACAATAACTAATCTAGTAAAAGAGTAACGAAAGTTTTTAACTCACTGATCAATGGGAACACGTGACGTGTGTTTGTTTTGTTTAGTTTTATTTGCAATTAAGGCTATATGGCGCCGAAATAGGAAAGATGATTTAGGCTAGCATCGAACGTTGAAACGTTACAGCAACACAAGCATCAAAACAACCTCATCTGTTGGAACTAAGTGATGCATAGACTCCAGTTATTCGGACCCATTTAGTCACCTCTTATGATCACACAGGATTAAACAGCGGCCACAATTATGATTCCTCAATTCTTAAAAAGCAACCCCTCATCAACAAGAGGGAAACAATGAAAAATATGTTTGTCTAATAATCGTTATCGTGTAATAATACATATTTACCTTTTACTTTACACTTTCCCCTTGGGGAATTTATTGATTCTCAGACATGTCCGTAGTCGCAACCGTCTTCACAAGGACTCTGAAGTCAGACAAATTGATACTTTAAAGCATTAAATTATTTATCTATAAAAGTTTCATTTGCACCATATGTTTTGTAATTGTCTAAATACAACTTGAGTTATGAATGTTTATTTATATTGTTATGCTCTTTGATTGAGTTTGAAAACGTTGTATTAAGTAAACAAGGGAATAGCTTCTATTTTTTACAATCATTTCGAAAAGTTAAGGGGAGGTTAAAGAGCATGTTATTCAATGTTATACAGTTTAAGAATAATTAGAATTGTGTCCATGGTCATGATGCCTCAACAATGCACTTTCTATTAACGTAAAACAGAACAGTATGTCACAGGGACAGAAAAAATATACTTGACCATCCCTTCCCCTACACGGTTGGGACTTAAATGTTTTCATCTTGATAGTTCCAAACGTTATGAATTTCAAATTTTGATTAAAAATCCTAAAGTATGCTTAAAGATATGTAAATTAATTGTTGTTATGGTTTTTTATCACAAATAATTTATGATACTCAAATAAAAAGTTATCATATTTACCGAATTTACATTTCATATTAATTAAGAGATGCAATTAGAAATTAATATTCGATCAAGTCAAAGCCAAATTTTTCAATAAGAAATGAATGCATGTATTTTAAATATTATTTATTTATGACGTATGTAAACATTTGCCGTACATATAAAACCATACCCTTGGATGTTTGTAAATTGTTTAAGAAGAATAATTATATACATATATAAACTTTCACTTTCAATTGTTGTGTCATTCATAATTACAACATAAAGTATCCTTAAAGTTTAAAGAAAAATAAAAACGATCAAAACCACAGACGAACAGCCATACGTGCTGTAAAATTTGTTGACACTAGCTCAAACACTTGTAGAGGTATATGTGAAACAACATGAGTACGGACGGACAGCCGGACTTGGGCAAATCTAAATGATCCCCATTTCCAGCGTGGGGGCAGAAAAGTGTTAATGAACGACACATACCGTTACTCTATTTCTTGTGTAACTGTGACATAATTTAAAAATAATACATCATCATGTTTAGCAACATTTTAATCAAAAGTAAAATAATTGTTTTCACAAAACAGTTGATGGCGTTTGTATATACAAAAATACCAATACTTTATCAAACAACTTGTTTGTTTATTCGTATAATTATCTTTTTTTGTATAATATATATTTCCTTCGAATATTAGAACAGAAAACTACCAATACTTTATCAAACAACTTGTTTTGTTTTTTTTCTTATAATTATTTTTTTTTTTTTTTGTATAATATATATTTCCTTCGAATATTAGAACAGAGAAAATTCACCTATGTATTCTGTGAATCATAAGCATCGATATATTTATGTACTGGGATCCTACATATTACCGGACAAAATATGATGGGGTTTTTCGCTGTAACTTTTATTAAAAATAATAAAAAAGCATGGAATTTTACCCAAATAACATTTTATCAAACATAAAAGTAAACATTTGACCGTAGAAATGTGACTTTAAAGTAGGGAATTATGAAGAAAAAAATCGTGTAGACAACTCAATTTACCGGACATTGTGTTTCAAATTTTTTGAAGTCATGACATGAAATTAATCTTTAAACATCAGCAAAGAAACTACGACTATTGAATGGCAAGTTTAAGATATATGAAACCCCCAGTTTGTAGCTAGAAAATGACACGGCAGCCCTGCCTGTTACGAAGAGGCCAATTAAGGGATCAAATTGAAATTAAAACTATTAACTCAATTAACATATTGATTATTCATGATCCTTAAACGTATGAAACATTTTGATATTCAACTGGAATTCTGTTCTTTGTCACACAGTTTCCTTTTGGTCATCATGCAGCATGTTGCAAAAGCCATAAAATCTTTTTATTTTTACATTTCATGTAACATTTCTTGCATATCAGACAGAATTATCTACCGTTTACACAGGTGCTAGAAAACCCTGTCATACACCCACATGTAAGACCAGTCGCGTGCTTTAAATGACGTCATTTCTGCGCGCCTTTTATGAATGAATTGCGTTCTTAAGATGACGTCACTAACCGTTATGAATGACGTTTAACGTTCATACGCTTCTTATAAGAAAAAAGTGCGCAATGAGAATATCAGTTTTCGTAATTTTTGTTCTGAAAATAATTGATATGTAATATGCAATAAAAAGAAATTAAACACCGGCTCTCTGTACAGACGGGAATATCTAGCTCTCGGGTAACTGTTTAGAGGAAACTTAGCAGAGCCTCTCGTTACCGCCGTAAACAGTCACCCCCGAGCTAGATATTCCGGTCTGTACCGGCAGCCGGTGTAAGAATCATATATTCTCCCATGGGTGTTTTCAAACCATTTCCTTATATGTTTTATTTTTAATTTGCATTTCTTCGTCAAATTCAACACCGAGATACTGTTTGAATTAAATTAAAATTTTTTTATCATTAAAATATGTTAAGATTGTCTTCTGAGATAACGTTGAGAAGAATAAAAGGAAAACCGTCTAAAATAACCAATTAAGGACCTCAATATTCGGATAAACAGATCAGATTATTCCCCCCACATGATCAGGTCATGAAATAACTAGTAAGTAAAAGGGTATGTTAGTAAATAAAGAACTGATTCAACATAATTTACCTAAGAGTGGTATTATTGTTATTTACTTTGAAATAGAAAGCGTGTGTACAATTCACACCAGATGATTTTTTAAAAATAAAGCTTTATTATACAGGAATATATTTTGTCCGGTAAACTGATTGTCCAGTAAAAAAAGGATCCCTATATGCATTTTAAAGTGTTACCTGTATTTTTTTTCATCAGAAAATTTACAATTGAGTAAATGTTGCGTTTTGGAATTTCAGGAATAGTTATTATAGTGAAGAAGACTTTATAAATATATAATACGACAGAAAAAATAATCTGTAAACTACCTTTATCACGTTGATGTTGTCTTTTTTAACATATGCACACTCACCGGGGCTTGAATGCTCCGTTTCGGAAGTAAGGAAAAGCTCACATCCGTTAATTTGATTTCTATAGATAAGAGAACTGCAGTGGCCCCGTGCACCACACTCTGCCACACATTGTTCGATAGATATACCAACTATAAACTGAAATCTGTCTCTGTCAGATTTACACCAATTTTCATAGGTCACAAAATACTCTAATTCAAAATTGTTTATATTCACATGTATTACTGTTACAACAATAACTGTTTGAAAAACAAGCAATAAAATCAACCCACATTTCATCATTTTCAAAAACATTTTATAAGTATAAAAGCCACAGCTCAAGTGATCAATTGGTATTCCAGGCAAGTGCGATGCTGGTTCTACTAGCAAGTTATTGAATATACTAAAAATGTGTTGATCACTGAATAATTATTTGTAGATGCATGGCAACATTAGTGCGTAGTTTCAAATTAATAATTAAACATTATTCCAAATAAACAGACTCTTTTAAACAGGAAACAATTGACTTCTTGCGGCCAACCCATAATGTCTGCGCAAATGGATTTTTATAACCTGTCATTTTCAGTTGAATAATACATGTCCGAAATGTGATGATTATAAAATAGATAGCATGTAATTAAAAAAATCCGTTGAACACAAAACATATCTTTCTTTGTTTTCATTGATTACCACATTAAATTGAGTTTGTGTCAAACGAAAGCAATAGGAGTGATACTAGATAATTAAGTAAAGTACTTTGATTAAAATTAGTAATGTATGATTATGATGGTTGAAATTGTGAACATAATTGGTTTTAATTAGTATATATTCTTAATTTAAAAAAAAACAACATAAAAACTGATTTAATATTTACAAATAACACATGCCATTATATTGATACAAATTGCCTGTTT